GATTTTGAAATTTGGCGAATTTACTTGATTGTCTAAACTCGCAAAGTTGCAAAATTTTGACTGCAACAACTGGTCCCCTCCGCTAACTTTCGCGCGACTCTGTTGTTCGTTGTTTCTCTTACTTTTTGCGGAACATTTCAGATGATGAATTTCTTTCTTTCTTTCTTTCTTTTTTTTTAATACTTTAGATTTTGAAATTTGGCGAATTTATTTGGTTGTTTGAACTTGTTTAATTCTTTAAATTACGACTGATCCGACATCTTCAAAGATGATGATGTATTTAAGTAAAATATTAACAAAATCCATAGTACTTGAATGGTAAATAATTTTCAATCAACAGCTTAAACGCGAGAGTGATTTTAAGACGAAGTTTGAAGCTACTTTTAATTTCATTTAAAGCTATCTTAGATTTAAAGCTATCTTATTAATAATTAATAATTAACATGAAAGATTGTATAAAATTGATCGATACAGATTGCTTTTCAATTTTCGTGCAATTTATACGCCGTAATAAATTCGTGCGAGTATTGGCACGAATGAGTTAAATATCCTGAGGGTATTTGTAAAATATTCTCTATTTTTAGAATCACCTGTGTCGAAACAGAAATAGAAGACACGAGAAATGGAGTGTAAGAAATTATTCTGTGTACGCTTAATTATTAATAGCGAAAGTTTATGTCCAATTTCTATTCACTACACGATAACGATGAAATGTAATTGTAAAAGTATTACTCGTAATACAAAAATTAATCTTCTGCCTAATGGTTAAAATTTATTACAAATTCTATGGCTAAAATAAAGAAACAGTTGAGGGCCCATTATATCGTCAGTGCCCATGTTCGTCTCGTTAAGAGTTTAAAAGACTGGATGCTAAAACACTCGCAAGCGTTTGTTTGCAAAGTCAATAGCGAAGTAGATGGAATCATAAAAATCTGTTCTGCTCGCGAGTTTAGTGAATTTTTACTGTCGGTGTTAGTTCCGCGTGTATTTTTGACTCTCCGTTCGAACAATTTACTTCGCGGAACGTTTGCCACGTTTCAATTTGAAAGAAACGAGGTTCATTGAAGAAGGTGAATTCATTCACTCTTCCTCGAAACTGAATGAATCCGTCACGCATTAAGTCCACTATTGCAGAATGATCTTCAATCCGTTGAACGATCGAAACGATTCCTTTACAATCATTTATAGCAATATAATGTTATAATTTGTTACATGCGATTTTCAAGCGTTTAATACAGGTTGACCCCTGATACTATCTAAAATAGGCAAAAGTATCGTCAAGAAAAGAAATGTGAAAAATTACAAGTACGTTTAATATAAAAAAAAAGAAGAACTTAACTATATATTCGAATTAGATGAAGAAGGATAAAGACAATTACTCGTCAATTTTCAACAACCAATCCAGTCTTTCCCTCTGGTTTAAATTTTCTATTTTCTGAAATTTCCGCCAACTACGATTAATCAATTGACAAATTACAATTGTCCGCGATACTTTCCTTGACGTTTCGACAGATCTCGAGCAGTACCAAGCAAGACGTACAGTCGAAAACATTTCCATCGCGCGCGTGGCACTTTCAAAAGTCGCCGAGGCGTCACGCGTGAGAAAGAAAGGAAAAAATCACACACGTGTGAAAAATGTGCTTCGTCGAAAGTCTCTGACGCATGTCGGAAATCGAGGATATCGCTTCGCAGGAAATTCCACTTTCCTTCGTGCGTGCACGAAGTATATTGCGTCTGATCGAGAGCGGCGAAAGCGCATGTGCCGGACGCTCGGCAGAAAATTTCCGGGGCTTGACGCAGCCAAGCCAACGGTGCACGCGAATAGAAATGAAACTAACAGCGGAAAAATTCGCCGCGAGCTGGAAGCTTCAATTCATGACGCGAGAGACCACTGACGCACGTGATCCCGATGCAATTCCGTTGAAACGTCGGCTATTTACCGCGCTGTACGCGGTGGTAACGCGCTCGATCATGCTCGGCGACGCGATTCTGCGTCGTTCTAGCCGCGTGCTACTACTAGTCGCTTCTTATCGGGACGGATGGATTCTTGGGCTCGCGACGCGAACGCAAGAGATGGAAAAGTACAAGCGAGTTATCAATCTCCGATTGATTGACCAATTCCTGGCGCGCGGATTTACCGTTCGATCGATTCAATTCAGTTCGATTTAGAGAGATCCAAGAGCTTCGGGGCAAAATCGGGAGATTACGAGGAGAGTTGAATAATAAAACCATTGTTACTAACCATTGAAACAGAGTTCTTCTGTCCGAGCTGGACGCGGACAGAATTTATCGTACGAGGTTATTGAAAGAAGATGCGTTTCTACGAGCAGAGATAAGTGTTCAATGGTTAATATCTTCTTAAATATTTGGTGGTGATTTTGGAAATACGATTAAAAAAGAAAAAAAAGAAAAGAAATGGTGGAAAATTCTTTCACGTGTTGAGATTAATTACAGACGAGAATTTCTCAAGTATCCAGTAGGCCGTGAATTTTGATTTTTAAGAACGCAATTGAACAGTGTCTTACTTGTCACATGTTACAGAGAGAATCTCTTAATAATTGCTGGGACTGAGATTTTTTTTTTTTTGTAAATTCACGGCTTTTAAAATTGTTAAAGATAGAAAATTGGACTTTGGATAGTTTCCAAACTTCTCCATATCACTCCGTGCAATTTTATTTCTTTAAATTCTTACGCTGGAATGACGTGCCACGTCGAGAATTTTTTTTTTTTCAAATCGCAACATTTTCTCAGCTTTCTTATATTTAAATGTAACCCAGGCAAAACAAAATGATAAGGTCATTGCTTCTTAATCATTTTTATCCAGTGATGTCATACCGACGAGTTCGAAAGCAAAAGAAAGCGACGATCTCATTGTACACGGTCCGGGTCACTCGTTAAGGTCCGCAATCAGTTGCCAGCGCAAATGGGTTAAAACAAAAACTCACAGCAGATAGCAATAATAATTGCTATCTCAGAGAATTTAAACTATGTTTTGAACTATGTTTCCTCGTGCAGAATTCTGCAACGAAATTTATGAATAAAAAAGAGTGCCCCTTGAAAGAGTAAACATAGGAAATTTGCTGCCGCAGGGACACCGCTTGAAAGAGTAAATTAAATTAAATTTGAAAGAAAACGGAGAAAGAGAGAGAAACGAGAGACGGATGGCAATTGAGAAAGGAGGTTCAACGACAGAATCAAAGCGGAATGCTCGAATGGATCGGTTGACGCACGTACAACACACCGGTAGCCACATTACGTAAAACGAGCACGTATCGGCAAGTATCTGGACGGAACGAGGCGAGAAAACGCGTTTAGTGGAGTACGGAGAGTACTGTTACTCGACAGAGAGGAGCACGAGCCACTCATCGATAACGCAATCTTCCCACCCACGTTTCCTCAACATTGTTCATTCAGTTTTCCCCGTTCGATTCGCACCTGACGAGAGAGAATCCAACCATTTTTCCTTTAATTTATCTCATTCGAAATTTTTTCCAGTTCTTCAATTTCAAACTGTCGAATTCTACTTTCGATTGTTGGCGCTGGACGAAAAGTAATTTCGTTCGTCGTTTCAGGTTTTGTTATTTTTTTGCGAGGAGAAACGAGATCGTGTAAAAGGAAACCGCATTTACTTAATATTCATCATTGTATCTAGAATTTGTATAATGAAACTGAAGTAATATCGTTGACATTAATTGAAACGTTCCCCCATGTTTTTGCGAAATTTTTGAAACTATCCACAAGTCATAAATTATTTTCTTTTCTTTTCTAGACGAGTTAAATCGAACACTTTATTCTGTTTCATTTGATACGAAATTATCGAAAGATCCTCAAACAAAAGAACTCTACGATTTTGTGAAATCCAAAAGGAAATCGAAGTGCTCGCAGCAACTCGCCACTGCGAACGATCGTTCCGCCCCTCAATGGGTTAAGCCGAGTGCTTCACTTTATCTTATCTAACACGCCGAGATTATCTCGAGGCTGTTTCATGCTCCTCCTCCGTGAGGCGAGAAATTTATACAAATGTAAACGCTTGCTGAGTGGCGTTCTGCAGGAATTTTTACGCAACAATGGCGACAATTTATAAAATACGAACGACAAGCAAGGTGGGAAGGGCACGTATTTACATAACGAGAATCGTAAATTGTTTGAAACGCGGTTAACGCAGATAAAGTTCTTCGCGAGTTCTGCGCGCAGAAGCGACTTTCGCCGCGGGTCGCATCATCGTTATTTCAGAAAGTCTCAGCCGCTCGCATGTGGTCTTACATGAACAACAAATATAACAGCGGCGACGCATTATTTTTTAATCACCACAGAGATTACAAAACGTGTCGAAGTCGAAGCTAAATGTTATAAACGAGAAGCTTCGGCTTTGCTAGGAAAATTTATAAAAAAATGTATGATTTTTTTAAATATATCGTTTAAACAAACCATTGTACACCATTGAACACGTCGTTAAAAGACGTTATCGAATTTCCTTAATTTACGCAGAATAATTTCCGAGATATTTAACAAAAGCTTCGAGGGTAGTTTTCACCCCTTAAACATAGAAGATTGCCGATACAGAAGAAAAATAAGGATCAATATTCCTTTGAAAACTACACTTATGCCAAATTTCGTCAAAGTCGGTCTGATTCTTCTGCCAATAACACAAGCGCGATTAAAATAAATAATTAATAACGAGTAGTTTATATTTCGTCAACGATTCACAATTAATCGTTTATGTATTTCATGGAAGTTATCCATTTTGAAAAGATCCTTTCATTAAATCGATTCGAATAACCATTTAAAGAAAAATATGTATTCCGAATATACATACATTCGCTCGTTCGTCCTATTTTTTCGATGAAATAAAAAACGATAAATCGTAATAAATCGATCACTGTTATCAAGCAGCGCGATTAAAAGTAAATACATACCGATTTGTATAAAATTCTTATACATAAATATTACAGATTTTTATGAAGCATTTTTTGTTCATTTAATTTTCAAGTACCAAAGACATTGCAATCGTCAAATCGCATTCAAAGCGCAGCGCTCCCGCCAATACTCAAATCATTCGTCCAAACGTTAACAAACGGCCAAAAGATCGCCGACGAAAGAAGCAAAGATATCGGAAAGGAAAAAAAAAAAAAAAAAAAAACTCACCCAAAAGAAGCGCCGGCTCCCTGTTGTCCTCCAGGAGCGCAACGAGCACGAGGAACAGGGGATGCTGAACGGGTAGCCGGTCCACGTCGTCGGTGCAATCGTCGTAGACGACCACCTCGCGATAGTGCCTTCTGCGCAGCAGTTCCTTGCCCTCCCTGGTGTTCGCCAAATCGGCCAGGCTCGCTTTCCCCAGTTGCAGCCGCCTCCGGTTGAATCGGTCCGAGCAGTTCACGTTGATCGCTCCCCGCACGTGGTTCACGTTGTACAGTATGAACGGCCGACAATCGAGCAACACGGGACCACCGTTAGGCTGCTCCCGTCCACCGAGCAGACGATCCGCCAGCTCGTCCGCGGTTATCGTTCTCGTCCTCTGAAGCACCAGCTGTCTCTGCAGCGTGTTGTTCTCCGAGCAGGGACTCGCCGGAAGGCTGACCGTCTCCAGCTTGCAACGTTTCGACGTGGACAGCTGATGCTGATGGAAATGGTGATGATGATGAAGATGGTGGTAGTGACGGTGTACGTCGGACAACGGTGGATCGCAGTCGGTGCCGCTGCTCGAGCTGCTGCTACAGCCGCTGATGCTGGTCCCGCTGGCGTTCAAGCTGCACTCGGTGCCATCGCTGGCCGTGCAGCTGTCGACGCCGCTGCTCGTCGACGAGCTGGGCGTCACCGTGGACGCCAGCGACGACGGTAAGAACGTGGATGCGCTGGCTGGCGGCCCTGGCTCGCTCAGGCTTCGGTTCAGCACCAGCTTCAGGTTGTCCCGTGAACGCGTGGCCGAGACCGGCTCGCAACAGACGAGGGTCGACATGGTAGGCGACGATGCCTCCTGCTGATGCTGATGCTGACGCTGACGCTGACGCTGTTGCTGTTGCAGCGGGCTCCTGACGTCAGTCGCCGTTATATCGAGACGCGAACTGGCCTTTGCTGCGGATCAGAAGTAGCTCGTTATTAGACGTTGTCCGTATTGTGACGCGCTTCGGATTGTTTTGGTAACAGAGTGGGAGTTGGAAGGAAATGCCAGATGTGATTCGAGGGTTTTCTAGAAAATTGAAAGACGCAGAAAATGGTGAAAAGTTGAGTTTCAGGAGATTTCTGACATACGTTCAAGCCTGGGAGTATCTACCCAGAGTTAAAAATATGGGTGGGAATATCAGATAATTACTATATAACTCGAGGGTTACTATAAAATTGAAACTCGTATAGAATGTTATCAAAATCGAGGCGATCTATGCTTTGGAAGCTACAGGAGCTTTCTGACATGTTCAAGGTTAGGAGTGTCTGCGAAATCTATTAAAAATAGGATAGTTAGGAAATATCAGATTCGAGGGTTACTGGAAAATTGTAGGAAATCGTGAACATCAGTCGGACATATGTTAGAAATGGTTAGAAATATTTGCAAAGTGTTGGAAATATAGTGAAACGAAAGACAGAAAATAACCAAGGGATTCGAGGTTTTCTAGAAAATTGAACATTGTAAAAAAGATCGAGGCTTCAGAAGTTTCAGAAGCTTCTTGACACGTGTTCGACGTTCCAAAATGTTTATAATGTTAAAAATAAAAGAAACTGAAAGTTTTCTAACGTGTGTTCAAGATCAAGTGTGTCTACAAAGTGTTGGAAATAGAGTGGAAGTAAAAGATGGGAAATACTATGGGTGATTCAAAGTAGTTTTGTAGAAAATTGGCTGCTACAGAGTGAGTATCTTTGTCAGAGTGTACGATCGAATTTTAAATTAATCCAAGCTTCGCGGATCATCGATAGAATCAATTACGCGCTGCATTAGGCGAACAAAGATGTTCTTTGTTGTACCAATGGGACAAAGCACTGAGGGTTGTTCTTCTCTAATTGAATATTCCTTATAGTGCTGGTACGTAACTATTTTTTGTCTACATTATGTAACGATACACATGTTCCCTATATCACTTCAAGCTGTAACAACTAAACTGTAAATTTTTACTCGTGGCAAATTTGAAAATAAATGTGCAACACTGCATAGAATGCAAACATCGAATTTTCAAGTACGAGTTTCATATTTACATTGAGCACGATGACATCCTGTCTGGGGTTTTTCATATTTCTGAAAATATGTATATTTATAAAAACACGGATTTTCACAAACCAAAAATCTATTATACTAAAGTATATAGTATTATACTTTAGTATAAATTATATTAGTACAGTATAGTATTATACTTTAGTATAAATTATATTAGTACAGTATAGTATTATACTTTAATATAAATTATGTTAGTACAGTATTAAAGTATTATACTTTAGTATAAATTATGTTAGTACAGTATTAAAGTATATAGTATTATACTTTAGTATAAATTACATTACTAATTTATAATTATTTTATAATTACTAATTATATTAGTAAAGTATAGTATTATACTTTATTATATTATACTAAAGTATAATATAATATTATACTTTATAGTATTATACTTCATTATATTATACTTTAGTATAAATTATATTACTAATTTATAATTATTTTATAATTACCAATTATATTAGTAAAGTATTAAAGTACATAGCATTATACTTTAGTATAAATTACATTACTAATTTATAATTATTTTATAATTACCAATTATATTAGTAAAGTATTAAAGTATATAGTATTATACTTTAGTACAAAGTATTTAGTATTAATACTGAAGTATATAATGATGCTACAAGATCTATCAACACATCTCTCTCTCTTTCTCTCTCACACACACACACAGAGATCCAAACTTTGGCCGTTACTAAAATTTCAACCGCTACGAGGACTCTCACCTACGACACGAGACACGATAAATTAGTAACGAACTCTAGGATAAGTACAACAACAATATTCCAGTTCCAAGCAAGTACAAGGGAGTCTCTCGTTCTCGTTTGGAATTATCTCGCAACGCGTGGGTCAACGATAGTTCCGTGGCTGAACGAAGATCGGCGGAGGAAGCCAGCGACCTTTAATTCTTCGTGAAAAGACGAAGAACCCCCCTCGTCGATCGCGATCCACGCGTTACGAATTTCTCGATAGTTAGTTGGCGTGTGTCTAATCAGTGAGTCACTTGTCGTCGTTTTTTCTACGGTTTGTGAAATCTCGCGCTTCCTTATTGCCACGTTTCCATGAAACGAGATAAAACGTACACACACGCGCGTACACGTACACGTAAATACACACCGTCGTGCGCCGGTCTTTACTAGTGTCTGGCTTGTTAACTCTGTCAATTTACGAGGGAAACGTTCCGAGGAAAGTTCCGCGATGATATAGGGTGTATCAACATGAAGCCGAGCTCTTTTGCCCGTTTACCAACTTCGTTTTGCGTTTTTCGCCTCGCTGCTGACGTATTTCATACGGGCGTAAAGATTAACGCGACTACGAATTGAGAGACTGGTTGGTTTGTTGAAGGGGTAACAGGTTGCTCAACAGAAGAGACAATCGAAATTTACGATCTTGGATAAATTCCACTCGACTTTATTTCTTTCTTTTTTTTTTTTTTTTTTTTTTTATCAAAGCCACGAAGAAAAATTCTGAGATCTTTTCACCGTAACAGTTTCCACCGGTCGATCAACGTTCGATCGGTTATTGAAAAGTGAAAAGACGTTTAACTTTACCGTAAGAATCTTAGTTTAGCAAGCGATTTCGATTATTCTCAGTTTAAATACAAGACTGTTGATGTTATTACGGCGTTGTACGTACGCGACGAAGTCCCCCGGGTGAAAGTAGCGGCAACACACTGTCCGCAGACAATATTTAATGACACGAAGAGCGAGTCTTGGCAGCGTGAGACGGTTTAAATCTCGGGGAAATTATCGGGAGACTAAGGTAAATACCGGGATTCGATACATGCGCGACGTTCGGCGGTTTTAAATAGAGTTACGAAGCTCGGGATGAGTCAACCCACCGAAATATCCGTATTTGCGGTCGCTTTACGCAAATCATGTCGACTGAAATATTCCGCGCGAGTTGCCACAGGTGCTACGGCGATCATTATGCGCGCCTAAACCGCACGCGTAACTGTAAGTGATATATAATACTCGACTTTTCTCTTTCATCGTGTTCCTACGATGATTCAAATTATATGTTTGTAGACGAGGATCAACAGTTTGTGTGTATATGATATATGTACGTATGGATGTATATCTGTGTATACATTATGTTATATAACAATAATTACGAGAGCTACCCTTTGTTACATTTAATCACACATGAAAATCAACCCTTGTAATTATGTATATTTTACGCATTTTATTTTGCAATTTACCGTATCTCAATTTACTTTTTATAAATTTCACGTTACAGAATAAATAAATAAATGACTATTCGTATTTTTTATCCAAGATCTTTTCCTAGATTAACTTAGTCTACTCGTAGTTATTTAAGTACGATACAATTAAATTAATAACATTAATCGTCAAAACTTCGTATCAATCACATTTCTATTGAAACTGCAAACGAAAATGGAGGACTCAATATTTCTCGATCGTTGATTGGCCGAAGAGTTGCAGAAAGAATTGCAAGTGAAATATCCCCTTCGTCAGTTAACTTCCATCATTTCGAGAGGTTGCAAGTAACGCTCGTATAAAATCCCCTTTCCCCCCGTCGATTTCTGGATTATCTCGTCCACCATCGACGTACCAATAAACGAAAAACGGTAGCTGAAACAACGTCTGTCGCGACACGTGCTCCGCATCGGCGCAACAACCGTAACCGGTGTTCCCGGGGCCCGTTTAAGCGACACTTAATCCTTTATCAGACACGAGTAACTGGCATCGAGGCGAACGATTGACTCGATTAACCTTGGAGGATGTCGTTCATAAGCGAGCCTGAAATAATGGCCGCGACTCCGGTTGCATAATAATCGACGCCGCGGCGTGGCTCGCTCGAGAGTGAAAGCACGTTCTCGCCCATGCGAGAACCGGCCCGCATTAGAATCGGTTCCCGGCTGCAAACCGCTCCGCGATCCGCGTCCACCGTGCAGACAACGCGATGAAACCCGTCTAATCGTCGTTTCCTCGTTCCCTTTCTTTTCGCAAGTTCCGTTGTGTTGAAGTTTTCGGATTTTTAACCCACTGCGCTGGCAACTGGTCCGCGGACCTTAACGAGTGACCCGAACCGTGTACAATAAAATCGTCGCTTTCTTTTATCTCTTGATCTCGGTCGGTATGACCGACCACTGGATATAAATGACTGAGAAGTAATAAATTTATTATTTGTTTTGCCTGGGTTATACTTGAATATACACAAAACCGAGAGAATGTTGCAACTTTGGGACAAAAAACGCAGCAACGTCATTCCAGCGCAAGAGGTTAAAGACAGTGACAGAAGAATTATAGAGCGGATGTTTAGCTATTGTTTGCTGTTGCTACAACGTTCTACATAATTGTTGACTAATCTTGAATAATTACGTTAATTTCATCGTGGATTTACATTGCTTAGTCTTGCAATTTTTAATTCGATTTGACATTTATTAATATATTAATTTGATTTTAGTTACAGCTCTTCCGTATACTTCCTTAGCATTTTTTCCATGCAGCTTTCGAATTCCTCGCTAAATTCTATTCTCGTCGCCTCTTTTTCCTCTGTTTTTCCGCCAGGTGTCTCCATGATCCCCCGTCCCACTTCTGGTCCTTTTTCATGAACTTTTCCATCGTCCCTAATTCCCCTCTTAGCTTCGTTCCTACCGTCTTAGCCATTTTCTTACTCCACTTAATCTCCCTTTTTGCTTTCTTCTTGCCAAATTCTTCTATCTCTTCTGCTGCCTACCTCCATTTATTTACTTTCTTCACGCTTTCTGCTCTTATTCTCCCTGCCTCTCTTCTTCCTCTTTTCTCCTCAATCTCACTCACTCTGTATCTGTCTCACACACGTCTTCATACTTGCGCCGTTCAACCGAAAGTCGATTTTAGTTACATAATTGAATCACGCCAAC